GAGCTCTAACCTTCCAGTGTACCAGCAACTTCTTAAATCCAGAGACAGTAATACCTACAGGCTTCCAGGAAACTGTGGGCTCCAGCCTTCTTGGGTCTCAGTAGCACTACCCACGTAGTTCTCCCTTCTATTTTTCAACTCTTAGTAGCGCCCACAGCATCACTGTCTAGAGCTGACCCTGCCTGGAGAGAGCATTGGCGCACAGGGAAACCCAGATGACCCTCTCTGTAGGATCTCTTCATGGGTAGCTGTTAAGTGACCTTGACCAGGGTTTGAGGCTGTCATGGGGAAGACAGAAGTGTTTTGTGTAGTACTGCCCCCTCCCCATCTCAACTACATCCAAACTATGTACCAGGAGAGGCACTAAAAGTTGTCAGCCTGTCTCTGACCTCATTTTCCCCAGAGTTCAGCCAGATTCTCTAAGATCCTTCCACTTGGCAAAAATCCTATGCCTACGCTGTGGACTAACCTCTAGGATCCACCTTCCTTTGTGGATACTCTGGCTGAGATAGAAGTAGCTTTCTAAGGTCACATAAAAAGCTAATGGCAGACCAGTCTTGTGCAAACTCTGCTGCCCTGAACTTGACAATGAGGTGAAAGGAGTATATATGCAGGCTGACACCCCTCTACTGTTGGGTCCTCCTGCTTCATCAGAAGCTCAGGTTAGGGTCCCACATACTTGATAAGAGGACACTGGGGCAATGAAATGTTGGGTTTTCCTTCAGGGAATCCCAGCAGCCCCAGCCATTGGTGTACTGTGCATATTCTGCCGATATGGCCCACTCACTGGATAGGAGCTCACAGCTTCTGGTGTCTGGACTGTGGCTTTCCCCAGCCTGGAACCTGAGCCCCGTACCTGTCCCAACCTCTGGTCTGTGATCAGTGTCACACTGCTGACCTCTAACTTAGTGTGACCTCTCAAAGTGGAGATCAACAGAGATGACCCGGAGGTTCCTGAGACAAGGGCTGAGTTGGACTTGTCAAGTCTGAGGTTGTCCTGTGTGGTGTAAAGATCAACAGTAGCGTAGGGACCATCAATAACCCGAGGTTTCAGATTCCTTGTAGGTCTGATCTGGACCAAGTTGTGTTTGTGACCTAAGAGCTGACCATATTCCACAACAAATGGGCCTTCATCTGCTCTGAGGGGTCTAAATTATAGGGAAATGCTGGATTGTGGGATCATGTAAGTCACCCTCAACAAAACGCTCCCTTGGTTAGAGTCAGGGTTAAGAGTTGAGGGTGGGGTTGATAACCCAGAGCTTGTTAACCCAGACTGGCAGCAGAGTAGGACCTTAGCAACTAGTGGATTCTCCACAGACAGGGCCTTTTGCTCGGTTTTCTTGAGAGTGTCTGGTCAAGAGGGAGGACCTCTGATGCCTTGGATGCTCCAGAGGATGATGATGGAATGGGGCTTTAAGGTCATATGACTTATGTTGGTCCAGATGGAGCTGTGGTTTGGAGGCATATCCCTGGTCTCTGTAGCCCTGTTTCCATCCTCAGGTCTTACACTGTTCTATTCTATGATCAGCCTAAGAGCTCTTATCATCTGAACCACTTGTCAGGACCTACATTGCTGAGGCACCAGACTGGGCAAAAGGGAATAAGCAGGAGTAGGTTAGACCCAGAGCTCCTAGGAGGTGCAGTGGAAAACAAAGCAGGGACATTTGTGGGCCTCCAGTTTTGGAGCTTGGATCTGGAGGTAGATAGGAGTTGTCTGAGCCTGGGGAAGAGGTCTAGGAAGGGATATGATGGGAGTTCTGGAAATCCGTGGAGGAGAGCAGTAACCAGCCACCTAGATGCTGGCAGAGCCTTTCCTAGGCATCCACTAGCACTGGAAATTCAGGCAGGATCAAATGATACAGGGTTCCCACTCATCTTGTCCTTGGCCAGAGACTTCTTCTAGCAAACTTGTGGACTTCCAGTGCAGAGCCCTGGTAATTGAGCCATCGCCTCCACCCCTTCAGGTCCACAGGGTTCCCAGAGACTGGACTCTGTCACAACACTCAAACACCAGCATTTCTGCACTCACTTGGGCTGCGGATCTGCTCCGCACAAGCACCCCCACCTCACTGCCTGCCCCAAACCTCACTGGCCAGCCCGGGAGCCAGTACTTCCATTCCCCTGGCAGGACACTGTTCTGAAGCTCCTCTCTTGGCATTTCTCACAGCTCTAACCCTGTGGGAGGACATGGCTCCAGGCACTTGCATTGACTACCTTACAAGATTTCCACCTTTCTTTGGGTATGATAACACTCTCTAAGGCGTCAGTGAACTTGGATAAGTCACTTTTTTCAGTTATAATGTTTTTGGGTGAATCTGTTGGCTAAATCAGAAACATGTTTATGCCATCTTCTTAGTAGATAGAAAAAACAAAAAAGCCAGTTCTTGTCTTGCCAGCCATTAAGGTCCTGTAAGCCTTTAACCTATTAGGAGGTAACTTGGCAACTCTCCCTATCTGACCTGAGAACACTGGGGCTGCCTGGTAAGACTGAGGCCCAGAGTCTGGGTTACTCACAGTTGTGGGAAAATGTCAGAAGGGTCAGGCAGGAGCCATGGCTTCTAGGACATGAGGACAAGAAGATTGGGAGCACTCAGGGGGCCGTGCAAGCAGTGGGGCAGGGGGAAGCCGCTCAATCTTTTCCCAGATTTGTCCCCTAATTACCCTCATCCTCTTGTCATGGACTCTGGGTGGGGTTCCTCAGTCCTGAAGAGCAAATTCGAGCAGGCTTGAGCTGACTAGCAAGGGGTCAGTGTGAAAGACACTTCTGTGTCCCCAGCTGAGTTCATGATCAGCCGTCTGATGACGTGGCCCAGACTGTTTCACACTGATGCCTGTGTGTTGGGACGGGGGTGGTTTGACAAAGGATACCATCAGAAAGTCTCAGAACCACCCTTGAATCTCCACTCCCTCATGCCTCACTTTCCACCTCTGTCAGGAAGTGAATGTCTTTTCAATTGGAGACTGTCCCAGAGAATAGTCACTGGTGTGGACCTGGAGTAATTCCTGAGGCCTCCAGTGTGATGGCAGCAGGGTAAGGGAGTGGTATCGGAAATCTTTTACTTCACTGGGCTCCCGACTTGGACAGAGAAATGAAGTCCAAGTTTCTGAGAGCAAACAGCAGCTTACTTGCAGCTTTGGGCAGATTTTAGTAAGTTTTTCCCATGTCCTTATAAATCTTTGATAAGTGATGGTCCTGCTTGTTGTAGTCAATAACAAGCTCTTTCAGGATAGAGGTGAAGTCCCTTATAAACTCCCTGGAGCTGGACTCCTGAAAGAAGACTGAGTGGGCCCTGAGGTTGTGGAGGTATTCAACAGGCCAGCAACTGACCCCCTGCCTCCTCCATCTCTGATCACCTAGCTGGACAAAATTCTACCTCATTTTCCCACAGGCTGCTCTGATTCCTGAGGGTCATACAGTGTGGACAATGAGTGCCTAGTATCTCCCTGGACCCAGGAGTGGGTGGGAATGGTGGCTAGAGAACCTGGCAGAGCTCAGGACGTGGCAGACCTGGAGGGTCAAGCCTCAAACTCTCCATCCCTTATTTTTACCTTTCCTGGAGGGTGACTGGGTTCATCTCTACTCCCATCTGAGAATGTTCAGACAGATCTCAGGTACAGGGATTCTTACCTCAATGGTGTTCTGGGGCTGCTGAAGGAGCCCTGGACGCAAGAGATGTTGATCAAAAGCACATAAGGCTACTGAAAGCAAAATGGTGTTTGATGACAGCCCAGCCTCGCCTTATATGTATTGTTGGCAGCACAAAGGCCTCTATGAATCATGAAATTCATGTGGGGAGACCCTTCACTAGGGCTGAATGGCTTTTTTACCCCTAGATTACAAAAGGCAGGAGCGTATTAAGGTATGCAGCACCACTTGAAGGTGGCCTCAAGCCAGTCCAGGCTCTGGGCTTAGAAACTTTTCATGAAAGGGATACTATGTATGAGAATCTAATACCTATATATGTGAGTTATCTCAACCTCTTTTCCATTATCATTGGTTTATGAGGAAGGAAAAGAGGAACTTATTGTTGGGCAAGATGTGATTTTCATGCGTTTTTAATATTCCATTTCCTGCCCCTGTCTCTGGCTAGGCCAATGAATTGCCTCAGGACTTTAAACAGATAGATGGGCTAAGGAGAGTGGAACCCAGCAAAGGAGAAAACTGGCCCTGCTGCAGACACATCGACTTCCAGTCCCAGAAGGGACACAGGAGGACAAACTTGGGACCAAGGCCTTTAGTCTGGCAGAGAGAAGGAATAGGATAAGGCTCCCTTCTCAGCCTGAAGGCAATGGGTGCAGAAGCAAGTCCCTGGTGGGATTCTAACTTCATGTGAAAATAAAAGCAATTCAGAAAAATGCTTCCCTAGAGGCATGTCACACTATAAACTAACATTCTGACTTTCAAAGATTAAAATCGTTTTGGGGAAAGTTTGCTAAATATGCTGAGCCCTGACCCCTGTGGTTTGGTTTCTTTTTCTCTGAATAGTGAGTCTGTGTTTTTTTTTTTTTTTTTTTAATCTACCTTAAGAATGACTGAAGTTGTCGGTGTGAGGCAGGGTGCAGAACATGGGGTGAGGAGCCAGAGCAGGGCTGTTGAGCCAGTGGTGGCCAGACCCCAGCTATCCCGCAGGAAGCATTAGGTCCTTTCATTCCACCTTCCAGGTAAGCCTGGGCTGGGAGCACCTAAGGATACACACCCAGGCAAATACCTTGGTCACCCAGGCCCAGGTCCTCCTCCTATGTGACACCACCATCACCCCTAGGAAAATGTCTGACGATCCTAGCCCCTCACTCCTGAGCACCTCCCTATCCGCCCAGCCTTCTTGCCTCTTCATCTGCCGTGGACAAGGGGCACCTCTACTATGTGCTTGTGGTTAAAAATAAAACAGCACACCGCACAAAGAAAAGTATGCTTTAAATAATTTATTATTATAGTAAAACATTTCAAATAAATATGGAATGTGAGCTTAAATAAATAAATAAATAAATATTTTTATAAGCATAAATATATAAATAATTATTATAGATCCCAGACAATATAAAAAATACCCGCTTCTTCTACAAGGTCCAAAACTTGGTCAGTGTGGCCCTTGGCAGGTCCATGCCACCCTCACAGTGGCTGTGATTAACCCCTTCGTCCCTCCAGGATGAAGTTCTTAGCTCCTTGGGGTTGGAGAGCCGCAGTCTGTGAGGTCAGCCTCCGGGGCTGGCCGGATTGGTCTGAGCTGCTCACTTCTGGACCGGCTCCCAGCAGTCGTAGGGGATGACAAACAGAAAGTCCTTCAGGTCCTCTTTGAAACTTTTGAAGTTGATAAACTGGGTCGCACAGGAAGTTTCCTTAAGAAAAAATGAAAAATAAAAAACACTTGAGCGCAGCCGAGTGGGTGCTATGGGAATGTGCTAGCGAGTTTCTGCACTCTCTAAGAACTGCAAGGCTGGAAAGACTGTTCCGGGGATCAGGTGACAGTGTTGCCATCCGTGTTTAGCCCAGGGGGTCATAGGCACAGCTCTGCCAAAGGCACAGGGTCCTGGCAGTGCCAGTCAAGGCTGTCTTTCCAGGCTGACCACCTCTTTGGTCCCGGGCCAGGTAGGAGCAGGTGGGCTATGGCTGCCTCCTAGCACTCAGAGGGAGTAAGAGTCAAGACAACAGACTTCACCCTCTTCCCATAGAAAGAAAGCGTGTGTTTGGGACCTATGTCCATTCCTGTCAGCCTGCTTCCTTGTTCCCGTGCATTATAGGTACCCCATGTGAGGCCAGATGGCACTTCAGCGCTGGCACATTAACACTTTGGATAGGAAACAGTTTCCTTGAGTTTGCCTCACCTCTGACTTCGTTAATGGTAATGACATTGAGTAAGAAGATGCCAGGCTTCAACTCCGGGGGCTGTGAGCTGGCTGCCCTCTCACTGGAGGAACTCATAAAATACTTCAGGGTCCTGATAAGCCATAGCCAGGGATCTCTCTCCAGCTGGGGACCTTCCTACTTGGGGCGTCCTGGTGGCACTCACCAGAGTAGGGGTGCAGTTCTGCTTGTAGTAACTGGCTATCATGGTCAGAGGGTCCGAGAGCCGCTTCAGGCAGCCCCTCAGGCCCCGTCTGTACAATTCCATGCGGGTCTGCAGGCAAGTTGGTTCCTATGGGAGAGCACATCCTGTGAGCAGAGAAATAACCGGGGCCCACAGTAGACCCTCAAGAGCCTCCCCAACACTCCATCCTGCTCTGTCCCAGCCCCAAGGAGCAGAGCCTAAGAAGGGCTCAGGCTGATTCCATGCCAGCCTCAGGGTGCTCCACTCCTACATGCTGCCTTGTCCACTGTGCCTATGCTTTGCCTCCTTCCTGCCTAGCTCAGGTCGCCCTCAGCTGGCACAGTCACTTTCCCTTAGCGTCATACCTCCAGAGGGTCCGGGGGAGGGGGTCACTTGCACCCCCTACATCTCCAGTCAGGGAGAAGGTGAGGCAAAGCATTACCTGGACCCATAAACAAGACTTGTTTCTGAAAACACCTCTGATCCCCCATCCAGTCTACACCCTGTCTCCGCAGTGAGCCCTCAAGTACTACATCTGCTTGTGGCTGCTCAGCTGATAAAGTGATTCACGTGACTGCCACAGCGGCATAGCCAGTGGCCTCTCAGGTGCCCCCAAGCTGGTCCCCCTCCTGACAGCTGAGTAGAGAGAAAGTGGGCAGCCCTGTGGGAAGCCATCTACAGTGGTGCCCCCCAGGGTAGAGGACCCTGGAGGGGTGTGTCAGAGAGAAATATCTTACCTGGGGGTTGAACTTTGCAGCGACGACTTCTATCATTGCATTCTGCAGAGAAGGAAAATGTCACTTATGCAGCAGATAGTCAGGGCCAGTGGGGGGCCGACAGGTGGCCCAGGCACAGCCACGGTCTCCCCTCACTCACCGGTATGGCAGCAGAGTCGTTGCAGTGGTTCAGGATACTCCGAGCCTCTTTGATGGCATTCACATGCTTCCAGGGTGAGGTGACGTTCTTGGACTGGGAGGTGGGGGCCGACATGCTGCAGACCACAGTGCCCAGGAAAAGCAGGCTCTGCAACCACATCCTCCTGAGGACTTTAGCCTTTCTCTCTGAGTACTGGGTTCACTGGCAGAAGAGCTCTTATATACACAGTTAGAGGAAATGATTAATGGTGACCACAAAACACCAGGGAGGCGGGGGAACTACCTGAACTGTGGAATCTTCTGGCCCTTATCAGCTCTACATGGAAGGAACAGTGAGCCTTCCCCCAGGTGGTCAGCTCGGGAGTTTTCATTAATGAACCCTTCCAAGAACCCACAGCCACCCATCTGCCTCTTTGAACCCTCTTTCGCCACCCCCTCCCCCTCCCGGGCCATGGGAAGTCCCTAGGGAGAGATTAGGCTCTAGGTTGACCCTCCCTTTGAGGGACCTCCAGGCAGTTTAGACTACTTGACCCAGAGTTGCTGGGGCACAACATGGCGGGGTGGGGGACAACATTAGGTGGGGCTCCTTGAGTATGGCTGTCACACGCCTGTCCCACAGTTCACTTACGTTGAGTCCAGCGAATGGCACAGTCCTGTGGTGGTGGGTTGTGTGGGCTCCCATCTAGGACCCAGAGCAGTTGGAAGCTCAGTCCAGCCAGGGATCCCTGCCCCTTTGAGCAGAGGCAATGATATCCAGCACACATCAGCTAGCAAGGTTGCAGCGTCTTCTTCCAGGAAGCTGACAGCTGTTGTCCGGGTTTACCGAGCACGGGTGAGTTGAGTGTCTCAACTGGGGCAAATCAGGGCTCCAAGTTTGATTCCTGGCGTGGCACCACCCAGCAGAGTGACACTTAGCACTGAGCTGTGTGAGCTTCGCCACCCTTTGCAGGGCAGGCTTCCCTCTGAGGTGGGCACTATATCCCCACCAGCAACCCCCTGCAACAGGACCTTCAGGAGCAGATTCGGAGTTGGCCTGCACTATTCCACATCTAGAGAACAAAGGCTTCTTGAACAAGGTCTTTCAGACTTCATTTCCTGCATGGCTCCAACTCCAGCAGCCTCCCCGTAGAAGAAAGAACTGCTTTTGGAAAAGCTACAGGTTCTTGAGGGGCTAATAAGTGTTTGATTTTCACAATGGGTTCAGAGGGGACAGCATGAACTTGTGTTTGCACAAAGGATCTGGCTCAGGCCGCCCTAGGCCTCTGGTTTTATGGCCACCGGGGTGTGAGTCCATATATGCTCTCTTTCACTAAACGCACGCCTGTGCAGTGGATACACCTGTCCAGTGTGTCTTGGAGGCGAGGATGGTTTCACAGGAAGGCACATCCTTGTGTGCCTTGACTCCTGTCACCTCCAGAGGTGCCCCTAACTCTTTTTTTTTTTTTTAAGATTTATTTATTTATTGGAAAGTCAGATGATTCACTCCCCAAGTGAGCCGCAACGGCCGGTGCTGCGCCAATCCGAAGCCAGGAGCCAGGAACTTCTTCCGGGTATCCCACACGGGCGCAGGGTGCCAAAGCTTTGGGCCGTCCTCAACTGCTTTCCCAGGCCACAAGCAGGGAGCTGGATGGGAAGTGGAGCTGCTGGGATTAGAACCGGCGCCCATATGGGATCCCCTGGCACGTTCAAGGTGAGGACTTAAGCCGCTAAGCCACACCACCGGATCTGCCCCTAACTCTTAAAAAGGAAAGCCAGGTGCCATGTTTCTAATTCAGTCTGAACTGATGAGATCAGATTCAGGAAGGATTGTCTGCTGGGATCAGGTAGGCAAGATTTCAAGAATCAGGAAGCACTTGTGGCCCAGGGCTGGGCATTGTGGTCTGAGATTACTTGGGGGGGAGGGTCTGACTTCCCTTGAATGTATAGCCAGTCTTCTGTCCTCCAGATTGCTTTGTGACTCCCTGCCAGCCCCTGGAACCCACTATGGGGCAGCCCTGACCTCTAAGCTCCCACATGGCTGGACCAGGGTTAGAACATGACCTGGCCAGGCCCTAGCTCTTCCTTTACCTTCTCAATGAGGTCTTTTCTCAGGTCCCTCAGGGAGGCTGTTGAGGGCAGAGGAAGGACAGGGCTACAACACATAGATACTGCCTGGAGGAGAGGTATGTGTCAGAGCCCTGGAATCTGGGTTGGAGAGAGGAGCCACCATAATGGGGGGCAAGGTGCTAGTGTGGTTCCTGGGTAAGAAGCCACTTTCCTTCTGGGAGTGAATCATCCCAGTTCAGTCAGCAAGCCTGTCTTCCAATCGTGCCAGCTGTTGCCTTGCTGCTGAGGGGGAAGAGAGGACCCTTTGCTGATCCTCACTCCTGGCTCTTGAGGTCTGGTGGGGAGACAGGCTGCAGTCCAGTCCAGTCTGGGATGGGGAATTTCAGAGTTGAAGGATCCCAGGGAAAGCTCTTCCAAAGCCCAGAAGGCTTCCTGGGAGGCACTGTCTGCCAGCAAGTGCTGAAAGGGCATGTAGGGGCCAGGTGGGCAATTTGGGATATAGGATGGAGAGGAAAGAGAATAGGGGCTACAGTATTGAAGCACTGAGAGACCCCGAGTGCCAGGAGACAGTATAATGAGAAAGCAGGTCCCAGACAGATTAGAAAGAACTTGCTGATGCAGTGGACTTACACTCATTTGGTGTTTGTTGAGTACCTATCAGGTTCTCAGCAGGCAAGAAGGATACAAGGATGATAGATGATAGTCAGGGTCCTGCCTTCAAGGCCTTTGTTACCTCACTGATGGAGCAAGGAGTGATGATAGTCTGCTCTGCCCCCAGCCCTCCCCCAAAGAGTGTGTTTTGGAGATCAAAGAGTTAGAATTTGGGTCCAGATGTCCAAGGTGGGAACTGAAAAAATGAAGGTTTCGGACTGCCAGAGGCTGCACATGCAAGGTGACAGACTAGAGTGGTCCAAGTACCCGTGAGATCTGAAGCCCCGAGGGATGCTTCAGTGGCTGGGCAGAGAGTGGAACAGCGCATAGACAGAAGCCTGAAGTGGGGTGAGCCCAGGGTCCTGGTGGGGCAAGGAAAATCAGGAGCTGTAGGAGGGTCTAGGCTGGCAACATGGCCGCAGGGGCTCAGACAGATCTCCATGGACTTGGCAGTGAGGTTTATGAGCAACCACACACCCTTCCTCTGGAAAGATGACATCAGGCCTTGGCTGTGACATAGGCAGGTATTCCTAGATTGCATCGTGTGGAAAGAAGCGGCAACAGATAGCATCAAGTGGCTGTGCTGACTCAGGGCCCCCGGGAGACTGGCAGGGCCGGGGCAGGGGCCATGATGGGTGATGTCACCCACTCTGGCCCCATTCCCACGGGGTCAGGAGAAAGCGCTGTGGAGGGAGTTCCCTGTGTGTCCCTGCCCATAGGCTCTGGAGGAAATGAGGACTCAGGCTGCTCAAGAATCCTTACCACAGATGGAGGAAGTAAGTTGTCACAGGCACAAGGAAATAACTTCCAAAGTCCCCTGAGATGTCTACACAGTTACCTCAGGTGACAGAATTCCTCTTGTCCCTGCCATCCTAATAGGAGGCTCAGGAGACCAGTGGCAGCAGGGTCAAAACAAGCAATGACAAGAGGCAGCACTTAAGTTAACCACTCAGAAGTATTCTACTATTCTAGGAGCCAGAAAGAACATGATTCATCATCTGGCTGCACCTGCAGAGGGATGGAACGGGTACACGTGTCCCCCTCAAGGCAGCTATGAAGGGGTGCTCCTGCCAGGAGTTGAAAAGGGGCTGCAGTGGCCTGGGACTGTTTTGGGGAGAGCCTGGGACCTGAAGGCAGTTTCCGCAGCAGCTCCTGTTGTCCGCTTGTCTCTTCACCCCAGGTTTTGGCTTTTGTCAGTGCCCAGCCCTGACCAGTTCTTGAGTAGCCCAGGAAAGCTCCCTTATCTGTACATTGGGTTCATTATCACTGCCTCCTTGAGAAAACTACTGTCCAGGAAACATTGTGGGAAAACCTGGCCAGGGAGGTGGTGGTGCTGTAGCCTCTCCGCCCAGGCAGGGAGGCAGGCCCAGTCATCCTGAACTTTTCAAGGATGACCTCTCCTTCCATATGCCCAACCCCAGAGAATATCTTTCTGGACAGATGTAGTGAGGTAGAGACTGCAGCTCCTGTCACTCCAGGCACCACCAGACTCAAAAAGCCACATCTCCTGCCCTTGTGGTTCCAGCTCCAAGCTGGTTCCTCCCACATCCCCTGTGGCACCAGGAAAAGGCCAGGCTTCCCCTGGCCACCTGTGGGCCTGGCTGTGTGAGTCCTGACTGCCTTGGGAAACCTGAGGGTGGTTAACCCCAACCATTGGTGGATGCCATGCCATTCAGGAGAGTCTACTGTATGTGTAGAATTCACAGGTCCCTTACTCCCACATAACCTGCATCTGATGTCTCGAGAGAGCAGCCAGGGATAATGAGACTCCAACTCTTGGGCACAGTACCCAGGATGCCAGCCAAGGTGAGCACAGGGAATGAGCTGGCACAAGGAAGCGGTCATGAAATGAGAGTAATGCACGTTAACAGAGTTGAGGGGATTTGTTGGAGTGTGGGTGAGGAAATGAGGAGACCCTGTTGCCCAGGGCTCAAGCACAGGGGGCTGGGCAGACTCAGTGCGTTCTCCCCGAACCTCTTCCTGTTGTGGCTTGTTCCTAAGAGGTTAGCCACACAGGGTCAGCTGCAACCCTCTCACGTGGTGCCCCCCTCTACTGTGCCGTCCGTAGAGGGTTGACACGCTCTTCCACTTGTCCTGTCAACCTAAAGCTGTTCCTGTTGTATTTTTAAAAGTTGAATGAAAATCTCTGGTTGAATTGTAAATTGACTTTGCTGCTGACGGAGCTCCTCAACTGTAGGCTAATGGGGATTGTGGCCTTCTCTTGACCACAATGGGGTTTACAGTGGGGCGTTGCTGCCCCCTGGCGCCAGTGGGACTGTAGGCCTGCACAAAGGCCAGCCTTGGTGGGTGGAAATGCCTTCACAGAGACTTCCCATTAAGTCACGGAAGTATCAGCCTCCTTGTCGCTGCATTCTGGCTGCTCTAACAAAACAGCAGAAATTGGTGGCTCATAAGCAGTAGAAACGTATTTCTTGTAGCATTGCGGGCTGGGAGATCCAAGATCCAAAACAGATTCCTGTTTTGTGGAT